ACACACACACACACACACACACACACACACACCTTGATGAGCCTTGAGAGTCTGCGTGACCTGCCCTACATCCATGTCCCACACGGCTAACTGACCCCCAGCGTCACCGGTCAGAAGCAGGCCGCCCATCCTTGTCATACAACTGAGCAAAACAAAACAAACAACAACAAAAAAAACCATTATAAAAAGTAGCGATATGGTATAGGTTTAACACCTCTATCAACACTAAAAGGTTAAAAATTAAGAGGCAGAGAAAACATTATCAATTTTCCTTCTTTTTCAACAAATCATAGCAAAAACGAAAAACAAAAAAATAGCAAAAAATAATTTTCCAGGATAGGAGGTTGACTGGTGAAAACATCCTGAAGCAACAGTGGATAGAAAAACACAAACAGCTTGTGGAGTCAGGGTAAATTACAGTCGAAACTGTTTAAGACAACCACCCATTGAAAAAGAGAGAAAGTAGCCACCTTAGACTGTTTTACACAGTGTTAATATACTGTGAAAAATACAAAAAGAAGAAATGGGAAGTGGCCCTTTGTACAGGTGATTGTCTCGTTCAGGTGACGGTTGAAGCAAGTTTGTCAGTATACGATATCACCTTATGTGTCACAACATGGTGGAATCAGGAGCTCGTCAATATATAGGCATTAAAATATAGTCTTGAAGCTTGCCTAGCTTTTGATTTTAAAAATACTGGGCTGATAGCTTTGCAGTTGTCAATTTGAAGCCAGTTAGCTTGACCCTTTGAACCCAGTCCCTTTCGAGTTGACAGGAACTTTGTATCAGAACACCTTTATGTCAACCCTTAGATCTACACCACTTCTGTAGTTTGAGGCCCAAAATTCAATGCCAGCCAGGTAAAGGTAGTCACATTCAAATGCCCACTCTGGTCAAACTTTTGCTTAGAACCCCCACCTGAGTGTGTATTTCACCCATATAGTTTGTTTTAGTACGCGTTTTACGCACTTGCAACACACTTGGGTCAAATAAGTGGCGAACGAGGAATTCGTCGCCTGTCACACGAAAGGGCGTATTCCAGATTTTGGCAGTTTTGAGTTGTTACTACTAGTAGATAGCGCTGCCTCAGATCTATGTTCACACGAAACGGCGTATACCTAGCTTTAAAATAACAGTACTAGCAGTAAAAAAACGAAAAGGGCGTACGCTAACACTCAACGCGACCGAATCAGACGAAACGGCGTACGCAGGCTTGCGCCCTTTCGTGTGCAAAAAATTGATACAAAGTTGTATCAAATCTATTCGCACGAAAGGACGTATACCTTGGTTACGCCCCTTCGTGTGAACGACCGTTACACTTTTGTCTTTTTTTTTCTGGCATAGGCCAAGTCCGTATGACGTAATATAGTAATACTGGCCCTCCTCTAATGATACAATAGGCCTGTACACAGCGCATGCACTGTGTTGCAGCGAATCCTGCTTGTGCAAGAGAGAAAACAAGACCCGCCTTATTGTGTTGTTCCAGTTGCTTACTGGTGCTTGCGGCTTGTTGTCACATACAACCCGTCTTTCAAACTGACCTGCTTACCTTCTGACGATTGGAAACCATTCGAAAAAGCAAACTTGGGTTTGATCAAATTTAAATAAGATCTACTTTTTGTCCGACGATTCACATGAATATTGCTAAGCTATATGTTCTTCCTTTAGCGTATTATGCTACACTCATTAACTAGAAGGCTACGCTATCTAGACACCCCCCTCCCCCACCCCCGGCAGCGCTACTGACTGAAGTGATAAAAGCATCAGGACTTTGCCTTTGTTATATTGATCTGAAGACATGTCTACAAAGTGAGCCCTGTCAGTAGCGCCAGAATCAACAAACACTGAATCCATAACGCACAATGATTTTGAGACCGATGAGACCCAGAGTAGCAACGAACGGCTACCAGAATTATTTGAAGTTGAAGGATCAGCCCGCCAAGCGTCACCAAAGACACGGAAGAGAATCAACAAGAAGAACGATGCAAAAAGAAAGCGACAGTCTGGCGAAGAGTACGTGAGCGCCGGCACGAAAAAGGTTGTTCAAGCACGAATGATGAGAAAGGGTTGCGTTGGAATGGAATGTACGAGAGCTGGCCGTCAGTGTTCTGGAATCACAGAAACGGATAGGAGGGAGATATTTCAGGACTTTTATAAACTGGCTGACCTGCAGAAGGAGAGAGAGTTCGTTGCGAGGCATATTGAGACGACTGAGCCCAAGGTCGGGAAACCAAACTCTCGACGCAGCAAAACGCATGCTTATTACCTCACAGTCAATGGAAAGCGCTTGAAAGTGTGTAGAAACACATTCCTTGCAACCTTGAGTATTTCAGAGAAATTTGTCCGAGTTGTTTTATCAAAGATTACGGAGACTGGCGTTGTGGAAGAAGACAAGCGAGGGGGCAGACAATCGGAGCAGATGAAGACAAGAGAAGAACAAAACAGGGATAAAATCAGTCGACACATTGACAGATTTTCACGCGTGGAATCACACTACTGTAGGGCCTCTTCCAGCAAAGAGTATCTCAGCCCAGACCTCACATTGTCCAAAATGTACGACATGTACGTGAAAGAAAACTCATGCAATGACATCCCAAGTTTTCATACATACAGACGAGTGTTCAAGACGAAAAGCCTGGCCTTTCATAGTCCTAAAAAGGACCAATGCTCACTCTGCAACTCTTTCCGAAAAGGGGACGAAGCTCAGAAAAATGAACTCAGGGAAATTTACAACAGGCACGAAGCAGAAAAACAAAAGGTGCGACAACTTAAGGAGGATTGCAAGAAGATGGCTCAAGCTGACCACAGCATTCTGGCAGGGAACTTTGATCTCCAACAGGTCATATACTTGCCAATTTCACATGAAGATGCTTTGTTCTACAAGAGGAGACTTTCCAATTTCAATTTGACGTTTTATAATTTGGGTGACCACACATGTGATTGCTTCATTTGGCACGAAGGCCAAAGCAGAAGGGGCAGCTCAGAGATATCAACTGCGGTGTGCAGGGCACTGAGGGAATATGACCAAAGAGGCATCAAGACTGCCTACTTGTTCGCCGATGGCTGCCCGGGACAAAATAAAAACACAATCATGCCCACCATGATGCTCCACATGATCAACACTTCAGCACACATGGAGGATCTGTCACTCAGGTACTTTGAATCGTTCCATGGGCAGTGCGAAGGTGACTCAGCACACAATGCTATAAGCACGGCCTTGGGAAATGCTGGGGATGTGTTTCTCCCATCACAGCTGTTTCCCATCATTGCATTGGCCCGACGCAAACAGCCATACAAGGTACACCCGCTTGAGCACGGTGACTTTCTAAACTACAAAAAACTGTCAGAAGATCTGAAAGTTCTCAACGTCCGCAAGGACAATGAGGATTCAGGTGTTCCCGTGAACTGGAACAAGGTCATGGAAGTGAGGGTGAACAAAGCCCACCCAACAACAATATTTAAAAAAACCCAGTCACCTGGAAGAGCAGTACAGGTCCATTTCGCTGAAGCGCCAACTTTCACACCTAATTCATTGTGAAGTTAAACAACTAAATGAAGAACCAAACCAAATTAGCAAGGAGAAATACGGCGATTTGATGTCTCTGTGCTCTGGGAACACACCCGTCATCCGGAATGCCGAGCACAAAGCTTTCTTCTGTCAACTACCACACAGCGAATGAGATGTCTCACAAAATTCAAGCTGAGAAATACAAACATGTTTGATCAAGGAGAGCCTACCAAAGCATGGTGGCATCCATCACTAATTTGTTTTTGTTTTTTAAATAATTGATTTGGAATTGGAACGAAAGGAAACTGCTTGTCTTTCTAAAACGTGATGCCTGTACCTGAGAGTATGTGTGTGTGTGTGTGTGTGTGTGTGTGTGTGTGTGTGTGTGTGTGTGTGTGTGTGTGTGTGTGCGTGTGTATATGTGTGTGTGTGTGAGTGTGTGTGTGTGTGAGAGAGAGAGAAAGATACAGACGGACTGACAGACAGACAGACAGACAGACAGACAGACAGACAGACAGACAGACAGACAGACAGACAGACAGACAGACAGACAGACAGACAGACGGACGAACAGAGAGGTATGGGAAGGAAAAGAGAAAGGGGAAGATTTGGCGGGTGGATGGGGGAGTGAGGAGGAATTTTATCATCTACTCGTCAGTCTGAAGACTGAAATTACTTGTGTGAACACTCAAACACAGGGCGTATACAAGGGCGTATACACTGATTTAGGACAGGACGAAACGTCGAACAATCACACGAAAGGGCGTATGCTCACAGATGGCACATTTTCGCAGTGAAATAAAAAAAAAAGTGCAAAACTAATCTTGCTGATTGTTTTATATCTTATCATGCACACAATATCCAAATATTGCGATGGTAGGATGCAAATTCCTATAACGACAAGGGAAAAGGATAAAGCAACCTTAGTCTGAAAATCTTTAAATCGTTCTCCTGAAAAAGTAAGAAAACAGGGATACGCCCTTTGGTGTGATAGACGACGAATTATACAAGAGGTGAAGGAGGTGAGATAAGGACAATGGATGTTTGACAAAAATGAAGGAGCAAATCACACCACAGCAACTGCCAACCACCCGTCACCAGTCCTGAAAAGACCATCAATACCTTAATCTTGGGGAATTCCAGTTGAATTACTTGAGTTACCTTTTCTCAATGAGGCATGGTAACATGACACACAACATACTTGTGACTATGCAATAAGAAACTTGGTAAATATAACACATCCAATAAAAACAATTAGTTGAGTGTAACCTGCAGTAGAGAATTATTTACCAGATTTCATGGGTGAGATCCTTGGTAAAGATCTCCGTCATTGTCTCCACATCAATGACCTTGAGCAGTCTGTCCGATCCGGAGCAAAAAATGCGGCGCTTATCTGAAGAATAAACACTAACAAGGTCAATATTTGTTTGTCACTGTCTGAAAACACTGAAGTACAGCGTAATCCACTTAACCCAACACGATTAATTCTAAAACAGCAGTAAAGCAAAAAAATAATAAAACCCCTCTGTTTTAGAGTCTTTTTCTATTTTGGCAACATCTTTAAACAAAAAAACCTTGCTAAAACGAAGAAAAATCCGGTATTCAGATTTCATTTGAAGTGACTCAACCGAAGCTGGGAGATTCATTGCTCAATCAAAATTTGGGTTAGATACATAAAACAACAATACATGAAACCAAAAATGGAAGATGAGCACAACTTTCACTGGCTAAACACAATGTTCTTAATTATACTATGCACAAAAGTTGAATACTACATACGAATTAAAGTCAGAGCGAAAATGACAAACATTTCAATTGGGTGGTCACAATAAGGCTGACAGCTAAACTGTCTTTTTCCCGGGGTGGCCATACTATTTCACACATAGAAACACACTGTGATCATGAACTCAGTCGAAATTGTCTAACCACACATTGTCGAAGAGAAAAGCGCCTGTCCTTTAATTATCATTAAAGTGGATGTGTTGGACAGTGCCATTATAATATTTTTAAAGTACAAGGAGGAACGGGAAGTGGTCATTTGTACAAGTGACTGTCTTAGACAGGTGACCGTTGAAGCAGGTACGACTGTACTTTTCTAGAACTGACCTGAGCTCAGCAGACAGGTCAAGACTGGACTAGAGTGGACTGTGGAGACAAATACATCAATCCGTTAGTGAAACCACATTCTGCTTGGATTTTAACCTTATTTAACCTTACTCAAAGAAAAAAAACATGTTCCAAGTAATCCAGACTCTAAGGTCACCATTTCTCTTTTCTTCTGCCTTGAACAAAACACAGAGTAACATTCATTTATTTGGGGGTAATTTTTCTGTCTTTTTTTTTTTAATGTAGGTGTTTTTAAGCCCCCATCAACATGATAAAGGATCATATAGAAAGCAGGTATCCCGCCCTGCCTGCCAGGGCCAACCCCGTGCTGAGAGGGATACAACATCCCAGCCGAAAGACAGAGATGCTCAATAAAAATTCTCCAAACTCAGTAAGCAACTCAGGAGAGAGAGAAAGATAAAAGGAGAGAAAAAAAAGATCACTATTGGAACCAAGTGGTGCTTCATTCACTGTAATATTGAAAAAAATGCTGAAAAATTTTTGTGGAAATACGCTATTCAAGTGAAATTTATTATTGTTAGTATTATTACTATTATTAATATTATCATTATTGTTACTACTATTGATATTACTATTATCATTATTATAAGTGTCATTACTACTATTATCAACATTTATCATACCCGACATAGTGGCCACGGTGTAAAAATGAGAAAGGTCCCACAGAGCCACCTGACCATCCTTCGTGCCTGTTACCATGACAACACACTCGTCATCGATGTCCATGCACGTCACACCCTCATCATGATCCAGCTGACCCTACAGACCACAGCACAGACAGAAAGGAAAGTTCAACAGAAGGTCGCAATAAACTACAGCAACTGCAGTCTAGCACCCACATGGTGAAATTGGCGGGATGAGAAAATCTTTTCATAATGTACAAATTTTACTATGTATATGTTTTAAATACAAAGAATATACATAATACATGCATAAGAAAAAAACTCAGGACCTGAATATCTTTGGGCTATGTGCATGTTTCTTTACACGCGTGTTTTCGCTATGAGTGCTAAAACTGGGTTTTTTCTGAAAATCCTAATATTCTCTTATTTTTACCCCTGCACTTACGAATTTACAAGACTGACTAAAACATTTTTCTGAACATCTACAGTCAATATTGTCCAAGACAGCTTGGACAGTGTCAGTATGATTTAAACAATATTCTTTAACAAGCAGGTGGGGAAGCAGGTACATGTGACTGTCTTGGACAGGTGGCCCTTACAGTAGGCGCTCATATGACCTTATGCAGTTGCGAGCCCCGTAAAACCTCTACTAAAACAAGAGTAGGTCAGGGGTTGTTCCCATTCTACACCCACCTTCCTCCCTTATTTTGGAAAATTCAGGTAGCGGTAATCTCTGCAAGAACAGTGCTACCAACTGGGGCTGCTGTGTTAGACTGACACCACCATACATGAAAGCGACAGAGAAAAACAACGTACCACATAGTCAGGGTTGGGGAGTCCGCTCTGAGTATTTGAAAAATCCATTTCCCACACCTTGAGAAAATAAGGAAACAAAATAGAGACATACATGCACGGTTTAAAAAAAAGATTCCGAATAAATTGTAAAAAGCATTTCATAAACAACTAACACAATGAAAAAAGCTTTACAATATAATAAATACATAGAAACTTATAGAGTGGATATGAGTTGAGTTTTGAGTTAAAGTTTGAGTAAATAGAAGCACATCGACACAATAACGGACATGTAGTACAGGGAAGAAGAAAGACAGACAGACAGAAACAACAGAGGGAAAGAAAAGAAGTAGGGCTTACAAGGGGTGTCCAACCATCAGCAATATATGGGAACAAGATAAGCAACTTCAATTTCTACAAAGTCAATGATCACAAACTGGAAAACAAAACACCATAGAGCAAACAGGAAAAGAATTTTTTTTCATAAAAGACATAAAGCACCCCAACGAAATAAAATAAAATACAGTCGAACAAAGTGAGCCAGATTTCATGTTGAAAGAGAGATTTCAAATTACAATTGCGAACAGAACAAAGTCCAACACAAGTACACAATTACCTTCACAGTAGAATCCCATGAGGCTGTAAACAATTTGCTTGCTTTCCATCTCACACAAGACACTGAGAACGGAAATAAACAAATAAACACAAAGTCAAGTGTGTTCTGAGAAAAAAATGGCTGTGTGAAACATATAGCCCATATAAAGCTAAATCAAAGTATAATCATCACTATCAAAATAACAACCAACTAAAATCGAACCTTCTCTAACAGTCACCTGTCTAAGACAATCACCTGTACAAACAACAACTTTCCACTTCCCCCCTTGCATGTTTTCTGCATTATATTGACACTGTCCAAAACATCCACCTTTAAAGGACATCCACCTTTCTCCTAAAAAAATGGGCAACTACTTTTTTTCAAATTCTCCTTTGAATACATAAACATACGATTATGGGAATTAACCTGTCATATTTTCTTAACAGATCTTCACAGGTTTTCAAAGCTAAAATCTTCAAACAATTAAATATGTAAAACGCATCAAACAAAAGTATAAAATGTTATGATAATCTCATATTTTTACATTTTCAAACATATTCAGATGACAGGAAAATGTAGTATTTCAATTATTGTGAAACTTTTTTTAAAAAACAAAGAGAGAGATGTTGGGGACTCGACTCACCGGCATCATCATGTGCATGCAGTGTATCCAGCACTCGCCCATACTCTATGCTGTAGAAATACCTGTGAGGAATTTGAAACAATTGAGAAAATCTTGAATTTTTCCTCGGGCATGTAACTATAAAATATGTCATACAACACATGAAGTAATGAAGAAAAGAAAATGAACAATTTTCACCAATGATCAAATGAATTTCTGAGCTTCACAAGATAATCTTTAGAAACTTAATATTATATTATATAACATTACTATTAAGCTGTCTGAAATGTAAGTAAAAGTACAAAGACTTATACAGACTTTCAACATCAACCTTAAAACATAAGTCCACAGACTTATATACACGCCCACAACACAAGTACACCCTCCCTATACACACATGCGCGCATGCACAACATCCCCCCCCCCTCCACACACACACAACAGGAGTCCACACAGACTGACACAGACTGTAAAACACAAGTTCCCAACTCACACTTTGTTGTCCCAGGATCCCACCACAATCGTCTTGTTGTCCTCCATCACTTCACACGATGACAGAGCCTGGGGACATAGCAAACAAAAGAGTCAAGAACAGCGCGTTGGGACTCAAAATGTACAGACCACATTATATCTTATACATCTTGACTCAAGACCATTTCTAGATGAAACCATGAAGCCCATGTGTGTGTAGTGAAACACAAAACCAATGTGCCAGCACAATATAGACTATAAAACTTTATCTTATCTAGTCTTTTCTTAAAACCGCACAATGTCTGATTTCCAGTTTTATCTGGAAAATCAACACCTCTGACAGTATGCCTGTTATCTTTTTGAAGCTCCCTTTTTGTTAAAGCCTAGCTTCTGACTGATTAGAGTGGGACATTTTAAAACAACACACCATGATGATACAAAAAAATCCCCACCACCACAGGATTTAAACTTCAATCTCCCATACGAATGTTGGATTCAGTTCCTAACCAGCAGAGACAGAGATCAACATAGACTACTAAAGCCCTGCAATAAGAGTGCCCACAACAAGAAATATTGACAAAAAAATTATAACACTTTACACTATTGTTGTTAAGGCAATATAAATGAAATATTTGAAGTCAGTTATATATTATTTTAATTCCCATAACAACAAAACATAAACAAAACAACAACAATAACAAACAACAACATCAAAAGTTTGGTACAAATCTGGTCCTGAGGGCATTCACAGTTCAAGGATCAAATATAAACCAAGAGGTATTATCCTACAGCGTTAAAGAAAGGAGAACTGTGCACCAACAGAAAGAATCACGGTACAATGACATACCATGAGAGATATTGACTTACCATGAGAGACATGTTGACACTACGCAACTGTCTCTGCTCCTCCAGCGAATACATCTTCAGGAAACTGTCTGAGAAGGGGAACAATAACAATAACATTATATCATCAGCAAGCTGTTCAAACATACTAAGCCCAGAAAGCAACATTTTACAGAACAGAGAAAAATAAATGTTTCATTCTTTTAACAATGTACCAGCATTATGTTTGTTTTTTTCTCGCTTTTTTACATTTAGAATTTGAATCTTTACAAAATATTTCTGGAGCACATGTGACCGAAAACACAGATTTAGAAATTGCAATTTAAAAAACCGTAAACATTTTGGGCTCAGTGCATTTCTATTTTTCAACAGCTAGCCAACGTTATGACATTTATATAGTGCTCAATGCTGATTTAAGAACACAGGCTCTGAGTGTTCTACAAAAACAACAGCAGCACAAAATCAGCACAGTATGCTCTGACCAAAAATCTAAACATATCTCTTTAATCTAGGAACAGAAATGACTTGGGCTGACTTTTGGATAAGTTGAAAGATTTGATCTCTCAATAATAAAACAAGCCATATCATTATGAAAACATTGTAACTGCACTTCTAGACTCCTAAACAACTGTAAGATGATCTCAAGGATATTGATTCTCATTTCTAAAGAGATCAAAGCTGTAAGAACAAAAAGGACACAGCAAGTAGGCTATTGTTTCTACTTTTCTACTGATTTCACAATAATGAAGAGACAAAAGATTGGATGTAAATTCTTGTAACTGATTCAAGTTCGACAGTTCAAAATGTACTATAACAATACCTTTGATCTACTGCTGATCGGAAATATACGAACACTATTGCCATAAAGAGTTAATCTCTCACATCACACACACGCATAACCCACTGCATCCTGGAGCAGGTTTGTTACCTTGTGACACGGAGAACGTGCTGAGGCCGTCAGGGGACATTCGCACTTCTGTGACAGCACTGGGAAAGAATGGAGTGCGGGACAAACAACAGAGGATAAGAGAAAGAGAAATTGTATAGGTTTGAACACACCTTGCAACACTGTAAAGTTATTTAAGAGGCAGGATCTCTACATTTTAACCCCAATCTCCAACAGGGCTAATTTGTTTGAGTAAAGAGAAGCATATCGACACAATAAAGGTTATATAGAGCTGGGAAAAAGTAAGACAGACAGACAGAAACAACAGAGGGAAAGTAAAGAAGTAGAACCTACCAGTGGCACCCTCCATCCACCCGCCAATAAGATTGAGCCAAACGGGAAAATTCATGTATGTAAAGTGCCTTTCCCAAGTACATACATAACGTCAGACTGAGCTGAGCCTTCAAACCCCGAACCCACAATCTCATAGTAACCAGTCAGGTAGCCTAACCACTAGACCACCAACACCAGAGTGAGAGAGAGAGAGAGGCATAAGATTGAGTGTAGTAGCATACATTGCATTGCGTATAAAGATTACAGTATAAAAAGCTTTTCTTTCATAATGTAACACCAAAAGAGCTATGTCAATCAAAGAAGTTGTCTGTTTTTTGTTTTTCCTTTCAAATTTTTTTAGTTTGTAAAACATAGCAAAGATTTCAATTAGTGAACGCATAACATAAGGACTCCCTCCCCCCTCGCACCATGAATCCTAAGTTTTTAGTTTAGTTTTAGAACAAGTTTTACAGCAATTACAACACAATTAGGTTTTAGAAGTGCCAAAGATTAGAGGTGTTACTACGGGAGAGCAACAAACAAAGAAAAGGAAGAGAGATAAGAACAATAGACGTTTGATAGGAAAGAAGGAGCAAACAAAACCAGGGTGCCAACCAACGGCCCAGTCATGTATCGTATAGGATCAATTAAATTCTTTTATTTAAACCAAGAAAGTTTAAGTCGTTTAAAAAAAATCCATCCTCACATTGTAAACATTGTGCCAAATTTTTTTTAAGTAATTTTTCAGAATCAGTACACCACTTGAATTCCCCCACCCCTTTTATCTCCCACCTTCAAGAAAGAAAAAATTAACAACATTAAGGTGAAGAAGGAAAAATTACAACACCAAGTCCCTTAAACAGAGCTTCAGGTTGACAAAAATTTTTTTAAAAACAAAAGTAAGTATCCACAATTAACACCTAGCTCATTGTGGACATATCATTCTAGTTGTATTCCGATATTTTTTTAACAGACTGAGGAAAAATTGGGGGGGGGGGGAAAAAAAAAGAAAAAAAACAGCCCAGAATGGTGAAATATAGCAAAGCATAATTTCAAATTCCCAAAAACACTTACTCTTTGTGCAGAGTGTACTGTAAGTGAGACCTCAGTTTGTTCAGGTCAAGGACTGACTTGGGCTGCGGCATCTTGTCCACTTTTGGCTCCACTGAAATACAGAAAAAAGTAAATTCCAGAAACCGCACACAAACATTACTCGCCAAGCCTTGATGGAATAAACAAGGAAAAAGAAAGACCGAAAGACCGAAAGGCCTAAAAGTACTTGTAGGAGAGACTTAAGATTCCAACCTAAAAAGAGACGAGATACAGCTGGACTATAGGCCAGGACAGAAGTTCACAGTTAGTTTTTGTTGGTGCCCCATACTCCGGTACAGGGTGAGAAAGGCTGAAGATGATGATAATGGTTACATTTCAGAAAGAACTTCATGACTGAGTGCAGCGAGCAAATTTGTAATGTTTTTTTCTCCATCCACAAAACGGTGAAACAGAGAGAGAAGAAGATAATTGATGCGCTGTAATTTGTAAAACCCCCGTTTCACTTTAGTGCAGATAAAACACAATTTATTTTGTTCATTTAATGATATTTGTCAAAAAGTACAGTATGTATGGTATCAGAGCTGAAAAGTTATTTAACCCTAGTCGTACGCCTTAGGGTTATTTTGTACCCCTGCGGTTGTATTTTTCACATTTTAGAATACTTCTAGTGCGAAGATCTCTTTGAAACTTTTAGTATTTCTCAAAAATTCATTTTGACAGACTGCTATGCAAAGCGTAAGGATCAGATTAACAAGTAAATTTCCTCTTTGGAAAGTGGTGGCACAGCCTTACTCACATGGCAGGGATACGATAGTAAAACACAACATACAGATAGGGTTAAGTGGCGGAACCTACAATTTAAATCGCTCATCAGATAATTCTGAGTCGAGTGGGAGCGAAGCCATGACAACTCCCGAAACAACATGCAACAGATTCAAACCACAACACGGGTGATTGGCAGGTGTTCTTGTGAGATTCGCTCCTTCTTTTCTGTCACACAGCAATCGTCCTTATCTCTCTCCTCCTCCTTTTCTTTGTATGTTCCTCTCTATTAACACTGCAAATCTTCGGGACTTATATACGACCTGATTGTGAAATGGTATAGGTTTAACGCCTCCATCAACACTATTAAGTTATTTAAGAGGCGGGACCTCTAAGTTTAACATCCATCTCCAAAAGAACCGAGTCAAGTGGGAAATTCGTGTAAAGTGCCCTTTCCCAAGGACACAACGTTGGACCGAGCTGAGGCTCGAACTCCCGAATCCGCAACCTCAGGAATACGAGGCCGGTAGCCTACCCACTTGGCCACAGACGCCACTGACCCAATCGTGTTGCAAGAGCAGTAAAAAAAAACTTTTTAACTAGGAGATGTACCCGCAGCCAGATTGTCGAGACCGGGTAGAGAGGAGACTTCTTTCACCGGGGACGTCTCGATGGGGCGCGGGGCGTTGTCCACGGACAGGAATTTGGGGACGCTCTGTGAGGTGAAGCGCTGAGGGTGCGGCGACTTGAACAACTGTTTGGGGGTCTGGCCAAACTCCATGATCTGTGTCTCCAGGCTTCTCCGCTCTGCCTCGTCCTTGATGCTACATACATAAAATAATAGTAATCATCATCATCATCATTATTGTAGACTGTAAAAAGACAAAAAATGATAACAGTAACTATGTAATGATAATGATAATGATCACAATAATGATAATAAAGATGATAATCATCATCATCATTTTCATCATCATAATATAGACTCCGATAATTTAAAAAAACATTTCCTTCCTGGGGCACTATAATTTTTTTGGCCACATTTACTGTTTTATGCCATAGCAATATAAGATGTGTCAGTTCTATTTTGGCCTTAGTCTTGACTTAGGTCAATTTTGTAACACCGCAACAACACCAAGTTTAGTGATGCAGTTTTACAGCGGCAACAAGCTAATTAAAGTCAAACTGTCCAATACAAGTTTCATACTGAGATGCCACAGAATTGTATTTGACAGAACAAACGAATCCTGGACTTACCTATAGAGGTCAACAGCTCCTTCATAGGTCAGATGATAGAACACTGCAAGACAAGAGAACAAAAAAAAAGGAAAGGATGAATGGAAAACATTAAAAAAAACATCAAAGAATCACAGAGGAGCCACAAACATCGTCAAAGAATACTTCTATAAGAAATGTTACACAGAAAACTTGCAAGCATACAAAATTTAACATTTCAAGGTACAAAACATATGAATAAACAGTTTTAGTTTTAGTAGAGGTTTTACGGCCCTCGCAACAGCATAAGGTCATATGAGCGCTAAGGGGTGGATGTCAACAGAGAGGTCCTTACAGGGAATCAGACTTACTCTGCTCACATCTCTATCTTCAACAACACAAAGTCTACTTCAACTATCAAGGAAATAGCAGGTCACAAGAGTGTGACAAACATACAAAAGAAGTAGAGGAAAAATGACGATAGTAAGGAATAAGAAAGAAAAAGCAGCAGTCCCCTGTTGCAGGTCAGGCCCAGTTAGGAGAATGAAATTGATGAATCAGCCCATTTACAATTACAATTCTACTGTGCATAAGAACTCAAGATGTTAATGTCCCCCCTTTGGGAATGGCCTAAAGACACTTCAGTCAGTAGCATCGCCCTGTGGGGTTATGAATAAACAGAAACTTGACAGTAAAAGAAACAAACAGAATAACAAAATCTTACATAAAAAACACATTTATTGAAACAGAATTTTAAAAACAAACAAATGATGAACTGATTCTTAAATGTATAAAAAAATACAAATCTGAACAGAAGTTTAAATGTAAAAAAGACAGACAAACCCATGAACAAAATCTTAAATATACAAAACACACACGTAAACAAAATGTTGACACAAAAAACATACACAAAAAAACAGCATTCCCAATACAAAAAAGTAGAGGCATGAACAAAATCTTAGATTTCAAAACAAAATACACAAACCTCAAATTTAAAAAAAGTACAAATGACTAAACTCTGAAACAAAAAAAACATACAAATGAACAAGATCTAAAATAGGAGTATAAGAAAACAAATTCCCTTTCAAAAAGCCAACGTTCCACACAGCACTTACCATTATCTGCCTCCCACGCCTCCTCCCCTCTCTGCCGCCAGCCAAATATGAGGTCAATCCACAGATGGATACTTTTGGAAACAATGTCAGACTCTAGCGCTTGGCGTAGTATTGAGACAAACTCCGAAGATGCTGAAAATGTGTACAACAGTAGAAGATCACTGCCTATCTCCACAGGGCCTAGATGATTATGAAGATGGTCTAGTGATTAGGCTGTTGGACTCCTAATTGTGAGGTTGGGTGTTCGAGGTTCAAGAATCAGACCCAATATTGCGTCCTTGGGGAAAAGCACTTTACACGAATTTTCGTCATTTGACCTGGTGGTGAATAGGTGCCCAGCCATTAAAGGCAAAAAATCTATTCAGTATGTGAGAGCTTTAGCACCTGTAAATTGGTCGCTCGCACTGTGTGCTTTGCAGAAAGTTAAGATTGTTTCAGAATACTATAGCATCTGCTGAAATAACAATAATTAAAGAGCATAGAGCTTGCTGTTGAGCAGGAGTGAGCGCCATGCAAATGCTATTTAATATCACTATTATCAACATGTCTTTTACTTACATTTTGCCCAAGGTGGTAACTCAACATCACCCACAGGTCTGCCATCGTTTCGGAACCCAAAATTGATGATCTAAAAACAAAAAAGAAAGAACATCTTTGCATTATGAGCTGTAAGTAACTGGCTGGTTTGATAGGGATTTTACAGCAATTGCAAAACTTAAGGTCACACTGACTGTGTGAGACTTCGTCAAGCATCACTTTTCAAAATAGCGTATGGCAGAGTCGTACACTACGCAGTCCACGTAAATGCCAAAGAATAGCATTACGAGAGAGTAACAAACATAAAAAGGAAGAAGAGCAGCAAAGAACAACAGTAAATAACGATAGAAGAAGCAAACTATGCCAGAACACCCACCAACTGCCAGTTGTTAGTAACTAACCAGAAGCAGTACAGGCAATGGGACTGAGAGAAAACAAATTTTTAATTTAAAAATTCTAGCACCTGATTCATTTAAAATCATGTAGAGATTTTCACTAAGAATGGAATATACTTTAAATCTCACTTCTGCATTTGTTAAGATAATTTTTAACACGAAATATGTAAAATACCGGCTCAAAAAAGGTACCAATAGATCAGTTCATTTCCTATTAGAATAAAGTAATCTACTTGGAATTATTTTGCATATACTCGGAAAGCATGTGACCCCCCCCACGTGGAAGGCACTCGGTACACAACAGTATAGACCTGACTCGCTCGCCACAGGGGGCTGGTGCTTCCCCGCCACCTGTATGTTCAGGTTTTCCAAGAAAATTTCTCTGGGTCTACCCCTGTTCCTAGAACATACACTTTTTTGTCTTCTCCCTACGAGTTCATCTTACCCCTCTGTGCGTGAGAAAATCTCCACAGTCACTGAAAAACTCTGGAATCAACTCCTTAAAATCCGACGCTCCAGTCAACACATTATTCCATGTGTCGTACAAACTGAAGAGAGAGAGAGTACATCATCGTCATGATATATCAGCAGCCAGCTGTTGCGAAGTACTAAGCCCAAAGATTTGACATTTCTTTTTGTCGCAGTTTCTTTATTTGTGGCATCGGTTGCATATATATAGCTCAAGAAATATTTTGTAGAACTTCAAATTCTAAATATTTTTTTTAATGACGAAAGATGTTGGATAGGACAGAAGGAGTAAACCCCACCACAGCACCTGCCAACCATCCGCAACAAGTCAGTACAGAAAACCCTGCACACATACATGTCAAGGTCCAGTCACTTGTCATATCGTCAGAAACAGAAAGAGAAGAAAATGAAGTTGAGCTTGCTTTTAACACCTTGCCACCTTATCTCGCCCATTGGCAATGTTTACCACCCGGTTTTTTGGGATGTTCCCTAAAATGAGGTGGCAAAGTGTTAATAGCCACTTGAATAAGAGAGTCACCTGTAAAGACAGCCACTTTCCATTTCCCCCTTGCATTTTTTTACATTATAATGACACTGAGTAAGATGTCAACCTGTCTAAGACAGCCGCTTTTCCCCTTTACAATGGGTCATTTATGGTAAGTCAACTGTTGAACAAGAAAAAAAAAATCAGACTGTTGGAAAATCCGATAAGGGTGCTTCCATGGGTAGTAAAAAGCTCTGAGAGCTCCAATTTTACGAGGGTACTAGGCAGGCTTTCTACTTATCAACTTACTTGTTAAACATCCTGTCTGGGTGGTCGAATTTTCCATTCTGAAGGCACAGCACGTACTCAGGAGCTGCAGGAAAAGGAAACAAATCGATTAAAACGATCTGTGGCAAATATCTATGCTGATTTTCTGCAGATTTCACCTATTGCACTTTTTTTTAAAGCAAAATTCCTCAATATTTCACAAAAATATCTCTCAAAAATGTTCTCTTTTACAATCTACAAAAATGTAAATGTCGCATGGATCATTATGAATATATTGCTCACCTCGGTACAAAGTACAATTTACTAGGTATTCAAACCCTGGGTATCGGGTTTTTTTATTCCTTGGCTACAACAAAGATTTTTCTGTTGGGAAGGGGGTATATCATGGTGTACTAAAAATGAAAGATGGACGTAAAGTCCAAACTGATGGCCTGAGACGACTGCTCAGTTTGTAAAGTGCAAAAACAAAAGTTAAGAGAGTATAATCAGAGAGGGTTTACAGTAATAGAGAGGTGACACTCGTGGCGGCGCTCCATAACAACAGCGCATTGTTTCGCGTATCGCCCGGCGCGGGGCGCGAAAACACTTACGAGCGGTGATTGCTGCCACAGCGATGCTCAGGGATGCTGTCATGTCATGAGAAAATGTAGTGCTGTCTGTAGTTAGTTCACTAGGTTACTAGGCCTTTAACAAACAAGGAGGCCTGTTGTTTCTATCGCATATTTTAGGCAACCCCCTGCCTCCCTCGGCCATAAACTGTAAGACTTGTTTTTGGCTTAAGTTAACATAATTCTAATAAACAAATAGACGCAGATACATTACTTCGTCTCTCTCTATAGATATGAAAAAAATAATAGCCCCGTAATTAAAGGAATAATAGGTTCAATTTTCAGCAAATCTACTCGTTCTCGAGTGTCCCTCTGTCATCTCTCTCTCTCTTTCTCTCTCTGTTGGTCTGTCTGTCTGTCTGTCTGTCTGTCTTTTCTTCTCTCCCTGTCTCTCTTTCTCTCCCCTCTCTCCCTCTGTCTACCTGTCTGTCTACCTGTCTGTCTACCTGTCTACCTGTCTGTCTGTCTGTCTGTCTGTCTGTCTGTGTTTCTCTTTCTCTCTCTCTCTTTCTCTCTCTCTCTCTCT